CCGGTTCCCAACATGGCCGCGGGAGAGCGGCCGGAGTCCCGCTGGAGAAGGGCTCCGCGAGGAAAGTTTCCCTCTCACTCCCCGACCTAAGCCGAGGCGAGCCAATCCGATCCGCGGCAGCCCAGAACGCGGCCGCACGGCACTACTCACCCGGTACACCCCGCTCCAGCCGCCGCCTGCCCTGCTCGCCGCACGGCCGCGGTCATACACCCCGCGCCGGGGGACGGGCTCCGGGACACCGCCCGGCGGGGCGGGGCCGCCGCCATCTTGGGCGGGAAGGAATAGCGCCTCAGCCCCGAGCCGCCCAGAGAGCCGCCCTGAGCGGGGACGGAGGGAGGGCAGGGGGCGGCTCGGCCGATCCCGGCCCACGAGTGGCACCTCGTGGCAGAGGGATACTCCAGGCACGAGACCTGCCTCGTGAGGTTTTTTAAAGACACAGAATATTTATATTCTTTGTGTACGATCGCGGGTTTGTGCTCGCGCCCGTGGCTCTAAGTATGCTCGCCCAGAGATAATTCAGAATGGGTACGTTTTTAACCATTTCTCTGTATACAGCACATGGAAGAGAATTAGTAACATGTTTCAGCCAGAAGAGTTGTTAGTCAGCCTAGAGAAACTGTGGCAGGTTAGCTAGAAAGGCTCCCACCAGAAGCACTGTCAACTCAAGGAGTCCCTTCCACCTCCTGTGTCAGAATTTTTTGTGTGTACACATCGAGTCATCCAGAGCAGTATTTTCCAAATCTAGCCGGCCGGTCACCTGATCCTTTACGATTTCCAGCCGTTGATGGATGCTGTCAGAGGGGAAGGCTGGCTGGGAAGGTTGTGAAGAGCTGTGGAGCAAGGAGGGGTGAGAGGGTACAGCACCATTAACTTCTGTGGCATTGCTCTGATGCCAAAGGGCTGCTTTCTTTTTCTTTTTTCTTTTTTTTTTTTTTTTTTTTCTTTTTCTAAGAAAATTTCACTTACATGTAATATGACAGTTTCATTTTTCAAATTTCACATTATTGAGCAATAATGTGGTTGGCTTTTCTGGGTATTAAAAATAGGTAGTGGAGGTTTCCAGTAGTAATCATGAACCTGCTGAACTTTTTGATTTTCAACTGAATTTTCTATCCCAGCTCAGACATGGACACAGATAGGCAAGAGCCACATCACTGAGCTGTGTTTCTCCTGTTGTGAAAGAGAGACACAGGAAAGGGAGTGGGACATGGAGGTCTGAGCACCCTACAGCATGACAATCTGGTCTTCCACCTCTCCCTCAAATCTATCCAGTGTGTCAGCCTGAGATGTCATGTAATTATTCTTAATGTCCTGATTTATATAAGGTGTGGGCTAAGCTGTTTAACACGAGTTTTTTGAAAACAGGTGCTTGCTTGTGGCTGTTTAAGCCACAAATCTGAGTGTGTTGAACAGTGTGTATTTGGCAGGTGCTTCATATGTAAAGAATTCGGGCACAGCCAATATTTAAATTGCCCACAAGTGCCTTCATTTTGTGATTGCCAGTTGCCGAGAGATCTTCACACCAGAGGATCTTTTATGTATGGCTAGGCTGGATCTTGTGAACGAAAAAGATCCATTTGTGTTGTAAACTTCTGTAGATTTAACTTGTCCTCTAAATAAATTTTCTTGGCATCAGAAGCAGCTTCATGGTTAATTAAATTTTCTTTCATGCAACAAATAATTTTATAATTAGTCAAGATGCAGCAGAAAGTTGGATGGATACAGGCAAAGTGAAGCAGTTCTAGTGTTTTTGCCTGTGTGTCTGTGTTTTAATTCTCATCATGAAGCACAAAGTGACATTGTTTTCTGAAAGGTTTGCAAGGTGTAATTAACAGCAGTGAGATACTTTTTCTACAATGTAATGGAAAATCAGCCTAAGACTTTAAGTCTGGTTAAGAGAACAATAAGTAACCTGTTGTCTGAGGAAAGCTAGGAACTAAAAATGACTTAATGTTATCATGTAAAGCAACATTAGCGCTATGAAAGCCTGCCATATTTTCTTTTATGTTACCTTCTTGTATCATCAGAATTGTTTTTTTCATACTGAATGGGATATTTTTTTACTCTATTCAGCAAGAGCGGAAATAAAACTGAAAACAGTCTGTTTGCAAATCCTCAAACACTTGTTCCTAAGTCTCTCTTAAAAAAAGTAAACATTTGACCTAATTTTTAAGTAGTGTTGAAAAACTTGGCTAAATGCCACTGATTCTTGCTTTGTATTCACTATATCGAAATGTCATACTGGTCATGTGTGCCCGTTTCAATGGGTTTTTTTGTATTTATCTACTTTGCTCTTACATGTCAACTTTGTATCTTAGTACTGAAGAAGCAATCTTGCAAAAACTGGCTGCTCAGAGAAGATGCATAGAAGGCAAAGGATGGGAGATCATGGCATGTTCTACTGGAAGAAGCTGGCACTAATATATTTTACTATTTCACATGGAGTGATTATTTATTTGTAATTTTAATTTAGCTGAAAAGAACTTCTTCCAAAGCATATTGTAGTCTAAAGTGATGTTTATTTTTGCTCTCTAATTACAATCTTACTGACAATTATGTCAGAGCTGTGCTTTAAGGGTGGAGGAAATATCTTCCCCAGAAAATATGAAATAGCAGTGATATGCTGCAATACATGTCTTACATTGTGCTTCCTGAATTGCCTTATGATTTTTGAATGGACACTGTTTACATACAGCTGTTTCAGAGCTTGCATTTTCACTTTAAATCTTTACAGGGATCACATGAAAATTGAAACAAATCTTTCTGGTGTCAAGCCAATGCAAACAGTTGTTTCAGTAAGGATTTTTACTTCATCATGTCAGTGAGACATTTGCACTGTTTGTGAAAGCTTCCAGTAATGGGCTGTCTACAACTCCCTTGGCTTACAGGTTTCTCTCAAGCAATTTTAAAAATTGCTGTGAATCTTTCCTTTGTGCTGACATCGAATTTCTGATGGAACCTTATTAAGGTTGCAGCTTTCTTTAACATAAAAAATACTCCAAAATTTTCAGCAGTTGAATGGGGTTCTTGAATGGGGTTTTTTATTGAATAGTAAAAAGTAATTTTAATAAAATTTAAAATTAATATTTAAAAAATTGATAGAGAGCAGCATATATGTAGGTTCAGAGAGTTACTGTGAGGTGAGATTATCCTTTAAACCTGTCTTGCCTTTAAAAGCTAGAGTTGGAGATTTTTTCCTGTAGAGTTCCACATACAATGAATTACCTACTGGTATTCAGCTGTAGTTTGCTTCATGGAAGTCCACTTGTTTCTCCTGCAAACTCTGGGTTTTTTTCAGATGCTCAAGCATTAGTTTTACAATTGATAGAACTTGCAACTAGAACCTTGCAGTATTTGTTGTGCTTGGGCTAAAATAAGCATCTATCCACTTCTTACACAGCTGACTTCTGTGTTACAAAATGAAATTATTAGAGATTTAATTGTTAACATTATATATTCTTGACCAGCAAAATTCAGTCCTGGTATAATAAAATGGGACTTTAAATGCTTTCAGCAACTTTAAAAAGTCTTACAAACAATGAAAAGAAAATCTTTCTGTCTTTTGCTTCTTTATTGAATGAAATTCATTTTAAAGCAGCAGCATCTTGGCTTTTCTAGCTGATGGAAATGCAGAAATACATAATACATTCCCAGCTTTAGATTACTCCTTCTTTATCACCCAAAAAGGGAAACCAAACCCATTAATTTAAAGCTTTTAAAGGGGAAACGAAATGCTTTACTCTCAAATCTTCTCTTTAGTGAAAACAAGAATGAATATGCAGAACGGGGGATTTCTAAGTTATCCTGGTCTCAGATTCTGCACTGGAAATTTGTTTGGCTCCACTGTGTTGTAACCACCCCTGCTGATTTGTCAGAGCTTTTGGATGTGTCCTTCTGGGATGTTACTATCCTTTCTCAATGTTTTGTACATACACATTATCCTCTTTATTAATTTCATTTGCTGCCTTGTTGAATTGTGTAAGAAACCTTTTGACTTTTCTCACACTTCAGCTGTTACCGCTGTCTTATCCATGAAGTGTTTTGCTGAGGAGAGCAGAGCTGTGTGTTTTAGAAATGGGGGTTATGATAGGTCCTTTTCCATTATGATAGGTCCTTTTCCATTATGATTCTTTTCTTATGGGTTTTTTTTTTTTAATTGCAGAGATTTCCTATTCTATGGTACACCAGGGACTGGAAAGACACTGGTAGCTTGTGCACTTGCTAATGAATGTAGCCAGGGTGATGGGGGAGTAATCTTTATTTATGAGAAATGGTGTCAAATGCCTGAGTGAATAGGTAGGTGTAGTGGTTTTAAAGCACTAGAAAACTTATTTATTTCTTGCTGTGAGATATGGATTAGGGGAAAAGCAAAACAGGCTTAAAACTAAAAAGGAATAAAGAAAGTTGATTAACAAAACTACAAGAATAAGAAACCAGAATAAAACCTCCAGAAACCCTTCTTCCCCACCACCCAACCTGAATATGAATGACAGTTTTGTTTATTACTTGAGCAGGTAAGATTGAAATGTGCCACATGTTCTGTCTGAGTTGTAACTTGTTTTCTGTGGTCAAGAATAAATTCTTTTTCATGTTTTGTCAGGTTCTTCCATTGAAATGGGACTGTCAGTGTTTCCTTTTCCAGTGGGGTTTTGGGTGGCTGGAAATCTTGGGATGTATGGGGAAATATTAATAATATTTATTATTAATTAATTATTTTAATGTAATTATTATAATTTAAATTATTAATTGTATCATTGTTTACTAATTTATTATTTATATTACTAATGTTAATAATGCAAACAAGAAAATTTTGCAAAGCACCACCATCCCCCTCAAAGAACCCCCAAACAAACCAGATCCAGTACTCTTGTAACCATAATGTTATTCATGTATTTTCTCTTTTAAATAGTGCTGTTTTCCTGATGTCAGTATTCCTGAGTTTTCTTTGTAGGCCGACCAGATGCAACCTTCAATTATTTTCCTGGATGAGATCGATGCCCTTGCTCCTGTAGGCACCGGTAAACAAGACCAGGTTCATAGGTGGGACATGTCTTGTATCTTCTGTAGAAGGTGCTTGGTCTTTGTGAAAAGAAGACCTATTGAACTTGATGTGACACCTTCATTTAATCTGAAAAGTAGTAATTTAGTGCTGGTGAATTTCAGATGCTTTTTAAATGAGAATTGAAAACAATTCACTAAGCTTGAAATCAGCCCAAAGTCTGTGTTATCTTATTTATTATTTAATGTCTTAAAATGAGTCTTTTGCAAATGAGCATCTTGTCATTAAAAGCATGTTGTTTTGGGGGTATCAGTGGAGACAGTTATGTGGAACTGAAGAAAATTTGCTAAATCAGTGAATGAAAATTGTATTTTTCTATTAGCTCTGTTGTAGGAACACTTCTGGCGCTAATGGAAGCCTTCACTGGCGGAAAGGTTGTGGGAATCAGAGCCATCAGCAGACTGAAATCTGTAGATCCTGCTTTATGGATCCTCCTGGACACTTTGTACAAGAATTCCACTTCAACTTGCCAAACAAAGAGGTCAGAACTTCAACTCAGCCTTAGTGCTTATAAGGCAAAGTGCATTTTTATAATAAACCGCTGTAAGAAGGCAGCATCACAGAGCAGTGCAAGTCTCCATCAGCAGTGTCCAGCTTAGACACCAGAGACTTGTCTGGAGACTGCATTTACTGTGAAGGCCAGACCTGTTCCTGGGTGTGCATGAGTAAGATGATCTCAGCAGGTAGTTAATTCTCTGATCATTTTTGGTTTCACTTTGACCAGTGATGGAAATGGGATGCTGCCACACACCAAAATGTTTAAAAAAGAATGAGTACATGAATTAAATATAAAGCACAGCTGTAGCATCTTGAAGGTGAAAGAAATGGTATGCACTCAAGAATTCCTTTTGGAAACCAAAGCTTTGATCAAGGTGGGTGCTGGAGCAAATTAAGTGTGTTAAGAATTTGACCTTCTTAACTTGTACTTATTAACAGAGACTTGGACTAAGATGTAAAGTAAGCAAGCTTGGGGACCTTCTTGCTCATTGGCAACAGCTAAGCCAAAAAATGGCTATGTAGGAACCAAAAAGCTTTGGGATGGACGTGGTTTATGGGGGACATAATGTGCAAAACTGGAGCCCTGGTTTTGTAGTTTTTCTCTCGCTATCACTGACACTTCTTAGCACTTTTTGGAAAAAAAGGATGAAAGGCTTATTAGATTGAAGGCTAGTGAAAGTGCACTAAACAGCACATTTAACACAAACATTTTCCTCCAGTTTTTATCTGCTTCCAGGAACAGAAGATGAGGTGCCATGAAACAGATCTAATACACAATTCCCTACTATGGAAGAATTCTAAAAATCTGCCATAATTAATCAGGAAATAATTCAAAGAATTCTTGGTAGTACCTGTAGAATTTGGAACGGAGTGCTAGGACTGTTTTCCTTGAATGAATTGGCAGATAAGCAAATTTAATGAACCAAGACTGTCACCATGAAATTTTGCTAAATTGCAGAGAATTTGATGAAAAATCTAAGTTTTCAGATAAGGATTTTACTACAAATTTTTCCTTATGGTCATTTGATCTGTTATGAAAACTCACTTTTGATGGAAGGTATACATGCCTTCTATTTCACTGCAACCTGTAGCAAGTGTTTGTTTAATGTAACAAGTTGAGAACTGTTAACATTCCCACTTGAAGACACGAGTGTATTAATAACTGACCTTTTAAATGCTTAGAAGTATAGCAGATAAGTATTTGCATTGGGTCAGTCTGCTTCCACTCCCTTCTAGCCCATGATCTACCAGACCTATTGATGGATTTCAACTGGTGTATACTGGCCTCTACTGGTACCTGACACCCACTGTTAATGTTTATTGTCCAAATCTGTGTCCTCACTGACTGCACTGTGTGTTACTGAGGATGTCTCTGATTGATCAGAGTATTGACAGTAGAAATGTTACAGAAGCTCAAGAGAAAGACTTTAACTTCAGCATTTGTGTGTCATATATTCCCAATCTGCAGATTTACTCACTGAAAAGTCTTTGTCTTTTCAGCAGAGAGAGGTGTTCCTCAGATTGGAGGAACAGTGTTCCAATACCTGTCAATAATTAGAATCATTGTTGATGAATTTATTTTTAGCCAAACTAAGGAAGTTTGTGGGTTAAAATCCACTATAAACCCCATCTATAATTAGTGGGTGAATATGGTCTGGAATTGAGAGCATGAAGCTATAAATGTTCAATACTGCCAGAAACTTCTGGTACACAGCAATACTGTCTGGTCTGGGGATTTCACTGGTGTAACCTTTGAAGATGTTGAGCTGTCTGTGTCTGATGGTTCAACCAGTCTCTTTTCCACTGTCTAGAACAGTGAAGAGTCACCAGTCTCCAGGTTAATGAGCAAACCACATTTCAAAGCACTCCAAATTAAACTAAACACTGACATTTTTGAAGGCTAAATCTCTCTCTATAGCCACACCAACAGAAGTAGGAGGAACAATTTTCCTTCTGCAGACAGTCACTAGATGACCTAAGAAAATAGGTCAGACTAGAAAAAAAAATTTTTTGACAGCTAGAAATTAATTTTCCTTGATGTTACTGTGGTTGGTCTGATACTGCAAATTCAATTGCAGGACAATACTGTGTGCTCACAACACTTCACCAGGTTGTTGGTTGAGGATCGTTGGAAAATCATACAGAGACAGCTGACAGTGGCATCTCTGCCTCACCTCTGCAGCTCAAACACCTCCTCATCTACTGCCACTTAAATTGAGGCTTTTTGGATTTCTAACTGTCCCCTGCCTGTCTTCAGAACACCTTTGCTTAAAGAAATGGTCTGAGTCCAATAGGTTCATATTTTCTATCACATTACCTCAGCCACTAACTTCTATCTGGGTGAAATTACTGGCTAGGAGCGAAGTCAGGAATTTAGGCCAGTAGCACTGACATCCGTCCATGGCATAAAATGGTTCATCAAGAGAAGACTACTGTGAGAGAGTGGGAGATGGGATGTATTTATCACTTGCTAAAACTGCAGGCATTCAAAAAATGAATTCATTTTACTTGCATTAAGTTTACAGCCCTGGAAAAGTGTCATTGTCACAGGTGTTACAGGTAGGGCTGGCTCTTACGCCTCAAAGGCTCTAAGGACCCACCATCTCTCTCAATGATGTTATGACCATTTATTCAGCCATCTACATATTTCTGGGGGAAAGAAAAAAACAACATCAGGACCCAGAACCAGGGGAAAACAATGTCCTTTTTCTGTGTTGGTAACTACAAATCTGATACAGTAGGTTCAGCAGAGACCAGCAGCTGAAGGGGCCTGGATCTGACCTAAGTAGAAAAGGTAAAGTAATTTTTCAGCTAAGATATTTGATACAGATAAAGATCTGAAATAAAGACCATCACTCCAAGCAAAAAGTTCACTGTAGAACTGTAGTAACATTATATAAACCAACAGAAACATTCATTCTTCTCTTCTCAGATAATCAGTTACCAGCCAATGAAACTGAGTATACATATAAGTCCTATAGTTATATGAAATACATTAATAACATTTAAATGATCATATAGCAAATCTCTAAGTAACTTCTAATACTGCTAAATTCCTTTTCCTTGATTAGGGAGAAAGTGAGAAAAATACATATTTTGAGAGGAAAGCTCTTCAACTGGTTTTTAATACTTCACGCAGCTCAATGGACATGGGATGGTTTTTAATTATCAATTTGTCCAGACAGCAACAGTCATATAAAGGTGTCAGGGCAACAAGTACTCAGCCACTTTTCTGGCCGCATGTGTGCACTGTCTCATACACACTGAACATTGCAATTCTTACAGCATGCAAGGCTCTCAAAACATCACAGCACATGCATTATTCTCAATGTATCACCATTTATACAATCTAGTTTCACATAAGGGCACCAGCTCTAGTCATTGAACAACCTGATTTTAGTAAAAATAAGAATAATAAAAAAGCAAAGAGCATCCCAAAGAATATTTCCATGAAGGAAATACTGTGAAACAAAAATGGAATTTTTACGTTTTTGATTTTTGCCTAGTAGGTAGATCCTACAAGGTAAAACAAAACAAGGCATACAGAATTAGCTAAAAGTAAACACAAAAAAACCAAACAGACAAGCTTCTGTGCTTCTAAGTAATAAAAAAGCAATTACTGTGAAAGAAAGGACAAAGTTAGCATTTCAGGCGAGTAAAGGAAGCATAAATAACTCAAACCTTTCTTTACATACAGCCATTTGAAAACTTTGAAAAGACCACAGCATGCCAAAAGCAAGGACTTGTGACTTATGGGTGCATTTGTTTGTTTTTTTTTGTTTTACTTTTCTGATGTTTTGTTTTCCCCTGAATTGCATTTGATTTCTAATAGGAGAGTTTGATTTGCTATTAATGCAAGAAATTATATTAATTTATGATCAAAGGCCAAAAATGCATTCAGGAACAAGTCAAGCTAGTCTGTCTGCAAAGACAAACCACTAAAAAACCCTAAAATTCCTGTTCAATAAGTCCAAAAAGATACACTGTTCTGCAGGTCTGAGGCAAATTGTTTCCAATTATTTTATTTCTAGAACATATGTCTAAAGGTGAAATTCTGAACTTCAATTGAACAGAACTGTCACTGTTTTTCTGTTATGCCTTAGCTAAGTGGAGAAAAATAATCCATCAGAGTATTATATATGTAACCAAACTATGTGGTTTCTTTCATTATTACTTTGCTCCATCCTTCACCATGATTTTGTATTATCTGACTACCAGAAGGGCGAAGACCCTGATTTAACTGTGAGATCTTGCCAGACATCAACATCATTTCTATCTGGGCACCAAATTTCCTGAAAGGCATAAGGACGTAGTAAGAAGAGTATCATTATGGTATAGGAGGAAATGAGTGTCTGACATGGGGCAGTTGGTGAGTTTGTTGGAAAGAAGCACTTGGAAAACATGAGCAAAATCGACATCGGGCAAAAAGGTAGCGTATAGACATGCTTCTTTTCTCTTGAGTGAAGCAGTAAAAATATTTTATGTTACTGTGCCAGAAATGCAGATTTAAACTGAAGGATTGCAGCTCCAGGTTAGCACTGTCCCTGAATGAGTCTTCAGAGGAGAAAGGAGAGATGCCAATCAGACACCAAGGAAAAGAAAGTAAATAAACAAGGGAGGAAAAAAAGGCAGAAGAGATGCCTGTGCTTTGACATGGGTGGCATGAGAAGGAAAAGAAGAATTGCTTTCAAAGATTTTCTTATTTCATACAGTTTAATGAGGTTTCTATCCCAGGAAAATCAGAAAGGCATGACTTCAGCAAAGTCTTGTGCAGGTATGACCAAGTTTAGTTCTCATGTCAAAGCCCAGATAATAGTCGCATTCACAACCTAATGATATTATTAAATTTTTCCCCTCTCTTCCCTTAGATACACCTTACCTTGCCTATACCAAAGTTACCAATTTCCATGATGGAATCATCCATGGAAGCAGTTCTAGAACACTATTTTCTGCAGCAAGACAGTACTGTAGCACATTATGAATGCAAATGGATGGCAACTGCCTGTGAGAAATAAAAGCTGACTGCAGTATATGCTCAGATGCATGTAAAAACAGTTTAATCACCAACCCCTTCACTTCCCCCACACCCCATCCCATGTTTCTCTGCACCTCCAGTGTCAAATCCAACCTGGGGCCCACAGGCATGTAGGGAAGTGACGGAGAGTGATGATTCTCAACAGATTCCTAAAATATCAGTACTATCAGGCTATATTAAACTATTTTACAGTACAGCACAGTAATAAACAGTCTTAGACAGTGTCCAGTAAAACACTGTATGTTGCCAGAGGAAGATTGCTTGGAAAAGAAAGAACATAGTTCCCCTTCAGCTCAGTAGGCTGGGTACCCTGAGGGTTGCTGGTCTTACTGTTTAAGACTGTGCATTAAGTACCTCTGCTTTTTCCTCATCACGTGTTATAGATGGGCTTTTGGAGGCTGGTCACAAAACTAATTTTGAAATAAGGGGATTTTTTTTTGTTTTTTCATGAAACACCGAGTTTTTATGAAAGGCTTTGCCACAGTAACTTTTTCAAAGGCTATTGAGCTCAAGTTGTCCATAAGAAAACAGTGTGGGATGGGAGCTTTATCTGTGAAAGCTGTAATTTGTAATTTTTTTGGATTTTTTTTTCTCCTGCGAGCTACTTCTTGGTGTAGAAGTGGTTCATTACCTGCTGTTAGCTGAGTCAGGAGTACTAACTACAGAGTAAACTTGCCTCAACAAGTCAGAGTTCCCTTCTTAGCTCTATATACGTGGTTCAGATACCTGTGTTCTTCCTTCTTTTCTCAGGAAAGTTCAGTTTGCATCAGTATATTCCTGAACATTAAAATGTCAAAGACAACTGAAAATTGGTCAAAAAATGAGAGAGTGATCCTTGTGGCTAAGTCTCCTTCTGGAAATAAGAATATCGCATCTCCTAAACAGTCGCACCTAAGCAAGGATAGTGAAATGTTGGCTTGCCAAAGAGCTCAAACTTCTGAAGATGCAGGTTCAAATAGCAAGTGAAAGTCAAACTGGACCTTTAGCTCCTTTTTTCTTCCCAAGGATGGTTACAGTATTATTATTATTAGGTTTTAGCTTTCTTGAATCCATTGTTACTTCTGTTGTGTCTCTCCCAAATCAGCATGGTTTCTTGCATAATGCTGCTGCCCCTCTAGTTACGCTGGCCAAACTCGTGTTTTTCAGCAGTTGCTAGTTTCTTGATTTGGTTTGATTTCTTGTAGTTTGGTTTTCAAACAGTACCTAATTGAAAAATTAAAATCTTGGCTTTAATTGCTTCTATTAGTAGCTTTCCAGTAATAAACAGTGTAAGGTAAAAAATCCATACTTCGAGTGTAGACCCAGAGTCACATGTGAAATAGAATAATAATGTCCTAAGGTTTGCAATGCAAAATACTTTTCGTAACCTAAATTACTTGGAGTTCTACTGTACAGTGCTGTAAAGGCAACACAACATTTTTCCCTAGTGCTTTTTTTTTTATATCCAAGTTTCTCATTTTTATGGAGCTGTGACTTTTGCCAGAAAGTAAAAGTCAAGCATTTCCTAGTGAAAAAATGGTAACATTTCTCTCTGTTATTGCAAAGACATACCTATTCCAGGTATGGGATATTTCATGGATACTGTATTCCAAATAAATAGAAATTCTGACTTAAAGACATTTGTGTCACTGCAGATTTGCAGCTACACCCTATGGCTCATGAAAGATGCTCTCAGGTGGACTGAGAATCACAAGTATGTGATGAGAAAGCAAAGAAAATTTACACATGGGGAGTGTTTTTGGATTACTCTGAGCTCAGAGTAAGTCTGATCTCAATTTTGTAATACTAAAGTGGGACGTTTTCTTGATACTTGTACAGTTACAAATTCAGTTGGTTGTTAACCAATGCCAATTCAAACAATTATGGGAGGGATATTTAGCTTGTGAAATAATTCAACCTGTAATGGACTATGACTTGTTTCCACAGCTGGTATAGACTGTTCCTCTTGCTTTTAGTGAACTAAATTTTAGGAGACTGGTTTCTCTTCCTAATTTTTAATGTAAAAGGGCTTTTTACATGTCAAAATAGCCCACTGACAACCCCCTAGTAATGTTGGTTCTTAAATACTTGCTTTTCTCAAATTCTTTCAAATTCAGTGTTAGATTTGTGCATACAAATACTTGCAGTATTGTAAGGTTACACAGTTCTCTATAGGAAAGAAGGTGCCATCCTAGGCTACAGCTGGGGAAAGGGTCAAGAACGAGCCTAGCTACAGCTTTGCATGGACTGGTGAAGGTTGAAGGACCCGCCCTTCAGAGGACACTGCTACAAGGAAAATTTGGGAAATTGCTAGGCTGAAGAGCTAGAAGATGGTCAAGGCAGAGGAGGCTGCTGTTTATCTGCCATGAAGAGAAAGGAAGTATTGCAGAACCACAGAATCATTTAGGTCGGAAAAGACCTGAGACCAAGTCAAACCTTTGACCGATCTCCACCTTATAAACTAAACCATAGCACTAAGTGCCACATCCAGTCGTTTCTTGAACACCTCCAGGTATGGTGATGCTACCACTTCCCTGGGCAGCCTGTTCCAATGTTTAACAACCCTTTCCCAAAGAAATTCCTCACGATGTCCAGCCTAAACCTCCCCTGGCGTAACTTGAGGCTGTGTCCTCTTATCTTCTTGTCACTAGTTGCCTGGGAGGAGACTTTATAGGAGAGTGATTCCTTTTGAGAGGACAGGTCTGCCTCAACTGTCCTGACTCAGCACATTTGGAATAAAACATGACCAAGTGCAAAAAGAGGCATTTGTAATGCTTGCTCCAGATGACAAAATAAACAGAGCAAATGTGCAGCTGGCCTGGTAGCAGCAACAGAGCCTAAGCCTTTGCTCTTCATTTGGCACAAAGAGCTGCAGTGCCTGCATAGGAATTAAACATTTTCTTTTCACTAGACTTCTTTGCCACGTTCAGAAACACCAGTGATACGATACTGCAGCTGATCTGGAAAGTAGACAGAGCCTGTAAAAATTTTACATTAAGAAAACAGTCAGTATGCTCCCAATCCAGTACATACTGATTCTCCTTGGTTTGTATCACCTTGATTATTCCACCTTTAGTAATACAGAAAGCAGGATCCTGAGCTGAACAAATTCGAAGAGAAATGTCTTACTCAGTAATAAAAAACTGAAGATTGAAAAAGAATCACAAACAATGTTTTTGTATCACAAACCAACTTCAAAAATGTAAATCAAAATCACCAAATGAAGAACTTAATGTTGGGTTCCTAAGATTTCTACCATGCTGACTGTTGTGATAAAAAAAGCCACAAATCTTGTTCGCAGAAATTCATTATGTAGCATTTTACACAAAAATACAGGATGTTGTTATACAGCCAAGCATCTGGGGTGATTAGCCCTGATTTAAGAAAAAAAAAAATCTCTAGGAAAAACAGCTATTAACAAGAACAAGAATGAGGGCAGAACAAACTACTAGATTTGTACAACTGAATCAAGCTGAATGTTAGGAAGCATATTTTACCATATAACAAATCAAACAGAAATACTCACCTTGATCCTAAGAGATGCTGAGTACAAAGCTACTAGTAATTTCCCACAAAAAAACACAGACCAGTATCTTTAGAGAGAGAGGGAGAAGACTAAAATTACCTGAAATGTTCAGAAATATGTTTTCACAGGACCAAAGGAAAGGAATTCAGGGAAGCCACGTAGGAGTGTGTCCTGAGAGACATGCTGAATACTGAACAAAGGGGCAGTCGAACACACAGTACAATAACAGCTGTGGACAACAACAGAGATACACAGTTAAATAATTTCTGCTAAAGCTTTTCCTGACAGTTTTCTTGCATTCAAATACACATGCTCATTCTTCCAACTTTGAAGCATCATCACTACTTGCAGGAAGCTTGCTCCTTGCACTATATAGAACTACTCAGCTGATTTATAGGACATTTACTGTAACTGCTTTTGGGCACAAACAAAGCAGTCTTTTTTCTTTTTCCTTTTCTCAGCAAAGAATCAGAACTGTCAGAAGTATCCATTAGTACAGTGTTTGTCCAAGAATTCTGTCATACTGCTGTTATTACAGGAAAGACAAGAAAAGCAATCTCAGACAAGGACATATGACTTGGCAGACAAGTGAAAAAGAGATATCAGCCTAATATCCCAAGAAGAAACTTAGCTACTGCCAGCAAGCTGACAGCTACATTTCATGTGCATCTGCTGTTTCCCTGGAACTGCATTTTGCAGAAGTGTGAAGTCAGACACTTCACAATTCTAGCAAGTTAAGACATTGAAGAAAAAACTCAGCACTCTGAATCCATATTAAAATAACCAAACAAACTTTAATATGTTTTTTTCCAAGATCTAATATACAAATACAATGGTAATAATGTACTCTTCTTTTGCAAGCTTGGATGAAATACATTGAAGTCCACTTTTCGCATGTTATATAAATAATCATCTAAAGCAACCTACAAAAGAAGAAAAAAGCTTAATATGTATGGTGCACACATGTAATTAGGCATTAAGTTTAAAAAGTAATACAAGAAACCAAATGCAAAACTGCAAAAAAGGCTTGACAGTTTGCCTGCGCTATTAAATGGTAATCATCACATTCCAAGCACATAAAAAAGTCAAGTTTTGTGAAGAGATGCATTATCTTTTAGTAGACCAAACACCAAATTATGAAAACAGACAGGATTTGGGGCTCTTGCATCAGAACAGCAGTCTATGAATAAAGAGACATCTTGTGTGGAATGATGTAGTTAAAAAAAATAGAAGAGTCAGAAGTCTTGATCAAACTGTAAGGTTCTACAGTCAGGCACACATTATGATTTCTATTAGTTTAGGTATTACATCCTCCCAAAATAGACATGTGAAGTAGTAGTTAACCATGCTTAATCTCATACTCTTCACAAATGTATCAGCACAGTAATAAGTCCATCATTTAAAGAGTGCATATATCACACCCACCGTACAGAAAAAAGCAGGATACGCCTTCACGGGAACTTTCTTACTGAAAGATCTAGCCTAAAAGTAAATGGGGTGGGAGGGAAAAACAAAACACAAAAAAAAGTACTTATCAGAAGAATTTAACATTTCCAATTAAACATCAAGTACTATCTATAATGCTTAGAGGCAACAAACTGTATTACCAGTGTTATCCCTTTTAGACATCCTGAAACTGTAATGTTTCATTCCACAAAAGCTGTGTACAAAAGCAGTTACACAAAAGTATGTGATACTGGGAGAGGCTTACTAAAATACTTCCAAGATTTGACAGACCTCAAGATTATATACTATTAACCAAGGTAAATTAGCATGCCTTGTTCCAACAAAGTCCCAAGCTGTATCTGGTTTAGTAAATACAGTTTAATTTTTTTAATTTTTTTTTCCAATAGACAGAAATAATGGAAGACCAGAAATGCATTTTTCTGTGTTCATCTTTTTGGTTCAATGTTGCCATCAGTCCCAGGAGTCCAGCTGTAAATGCTCTGGTTACATTTCTGAGACATCAAAATTATCTCAGTTCCACAGTATCTACATCTAAAAATCTAAAGCATGGCTGCATCAAATCTGCAATTTAAACTCATATTCAAGTCAGTACATCTAAAAGAGCTGAACAAGTCTTCCTGTAACGCCTTTAAAATCAAAATCCCTCCTTGTTTTTTCTTTTCTTACAGGCTGAAACAAACTAACTCACTATAAATACTGGTAAGAATGTGTGAGTTTGTTAAGTTTAGTTTTTCACGGACCTTCCCAGACAACTAAGAAAATGAGCCTGAAACTTTAGGAGGAAAAAATTATCTATCTTTTCAGAAGACAAATGATTTTAAAATTTTGAGATATAATAACAACTGTGTCTGTTTGTGTGTATCATTTCTAAAATAGAAAATTATTCTTCCCTGATCTAATCCTCTGCCCTTCCATTATTAATTGCAAGACGAAAAACTGAAGTAGTCGTGTTTGACCTCCTCAACCCAGAATGTGTCATATGTTATTCAGAAAGCATTTTATCTCCCTTGGTAAGCTGAGTCTCATAATGATATAGCACAAATGAGACAAATGCAAAAAGCCAGAAGGGAGACCCTTTTCCACAAAAGGAATCAGGGAAGGGGTGCTGAAGAGGCAGAAGGTGCAAACGTATTTGTAGGCTTTCAAGGGAACACTTTGGGGGACTAACAGAACATTTTGTTATATGCTTTTATGCTGATAAAACACACCATTCCTAAAAGAGAAAACTGCAATCTTCATTACATTTTTCCACCTGCTGGTCAGCAGTTGCAGTGTCAGGAAGACCTGACCATAATCCAGGAACTTTCCTCCCTAGATTAAGGGCCACATGACTACAATATGTTTCGCATAACATGGCTGAGACTCCATTCAGCATTTCATATTTAAGTGCCTTCTGGCTGTGCAATGGGAGTGGTAATTGTTACCCTCATCCTATAAAACACATGGTTTGTGTAACAAATGCTGAGATAGCTAAAACCTTTCTGCAGGTTTGAACTTTACCCTACCCTGTAATCCCAACTAAAACAAAGGATAAGTGGCTGTAAAGACCCTCAGGCAAAACAAAATGGTGATTTTATACAGCAGAATAGATGCACTTTAAGGCACCAGCCCATTACATTCACCTAAAGTCCTAAATACCCAGCAAATGCTGCCAGCAAAAGCCCATTTCATCCATTAGGCAGAGAGTATCCTTGTCCTTGCATTAACAAAGACCATCTGATTATGAAGGAGACCAATACTCTGTTACTGCTGCCAGTTATGGCCAGTTCAAGTGGTTTAAACACTCTAGAGTTCCTCACTGTCAACTATTCACTGATGATGGGAGACTAGAGGAAGTATTCAGAGATTATTTTTTTTTGTAATTTTCATTAAGATGATATAACCCATCCATTAAAAAACACAAAAAGCAGGGAGAAAATGGGAGGAGTGCCAGGATCAACATTCAGTTGAATAAAATGCTAATGCTGCCCTAATCTGATTTCTTTGTATTCATACTTTTCTCTTTAGTCTCCAATTACATGATCACATTGCATATTTTCCACAGGACCCTCCCAGTGAATAACATAGGCAGGGCTCTAGGAATGAAGCAGGAAGAAAGAAGGCCTGTTCTCTTCAGGAGTTGGTGGCTCATGTTGGGAACCAGGGGGCCAATGCACTATGAATTATCAAATTACCTGAAAGGTTCTGAAGAACCAAATTCTCTTCCTGCTTCTGTCCCGAAGTTTCCACACAATACCAACAACCAAATTTTAAGTATGTGGACCATAAATACACATTACTCATTTTCCATACCTCCCATCACTGAAATGAAGCATTTCAGGCCATGCACTTGCAATTTTTCTAAGTCTAAACTGCAACTAAAGGCAATGGGTTTTATAGACTGTACACTATGGGTTGAAGGGTGGTGAATTTAAAAAAAAAAAAAAAAAGAAAGAAATCCAAATATTTCAGCTTGAACAAAGAAAACTGAGTTTTGATGTTGTACTTGTCTCTGTTCCCTGCTTCTAAATGGAATAAACAGTTTTCCTGGGCATGTGACCACAAAAACTGAGACATCAGGTTAAACAACATGAACAGGAATGCCTTAAATGCAAATTATAATTAGTGTATGAAAAATAAAGCCAAAGGGTACACAGAATCATAGAATGGTTTGGGTTGGGAGGGATCATCTGGTTCCAACCCTCCAGCCATGGGCTGGGACACTTCCCACTACACCAGGTTGCTCAAGGCCCCACCCAACATGCCCTTGGACACATCCAGAGAGGGGGCATCCACAGCTTCTCTGGGAAACCTGTGTCTCACCACCCTCACAGCAAAGAATTTCTTTCTAACATATCATCTGAGCCTGCTCTCTTTTAGTTTAAAGCCATTTCCCCTTGTCCTTAATGCCCTTGTAAAAAGTCCCTCTCTGGCTTTCTTGTAGGGTCCCTTTAGGTACTGGAGAGCTGTTATAACATGCACACATAATTAAAATAAAAACGTTAATCAGCTCAGTAGGCACTGACTGAACAAACCAGGGATGTCCCATTTCAGAAAAAAGATTAAGGGCTCTCCTAATTCGATTGCGTAAGATACTGTGATCACAGGTAATGCTGTAATTGAGGGTTATATTAATGGTGCAAATGCAGAGATAAATCTGGCATTTCTTTACTCTGAAGTGGTATCTTTCCAGACTTTGCAATACTCTCAATGAACATGCACTTGTAGATGTAGGAAACTCTTTGCAGCGTTTTGTTTTCCAGCTAGAGGCAGACAAAGCATTGCCAATAAAACATTCTTCTGCTTTTGAACTGTGCACTAGCAAGCATCTCAGAATGTAGCTAGAAAAAATAAAAGCATCAAAGAAAAAATAGGACTCTGCAGGTCTTTAGGGCCCATCATCCACTGTTCCAGCCAGACTTTCCTAATTGACTTGGCTGCATGCCAGAAAAGAAATAAACAGAAAGCACCTTTCTCAACATAGCTTTGAGCATGGCTGCTCATGTCAGGGAATGAATCCCCCCTCCCACACACACTAACCAGCAGTTAAAGGCAACACGCTCTCTTTTCTTGGTAGCCATTCAACTGTGCTGTGAAATACCGTAAGCAGATGTGTTTTCTATGGTGCAGTGCTCATCCCATGCTGGCACATAGCTGCATTTATAAAAGTCTCCTTAAAGTTTCTCTACCAGTAATACTTCTTTTAGGCAGCATTTTTATATATGAAATTAGACCTGGCTGTGAGTACACTGCCTCCTGTGCACAAAGATAATATACAGTAGTTATAATCTTTGAATCTTTTGTGTGGTGGGATTTTTTAAATATAAACTCTCAAAATAATAGAAGCTAAAATATTTGAAATTGAGTAAGTAGGCAGCTTTAAGTCTTCTAACAACAAACACTTTGTGAAAACTAGCATCAGTTATATTTATTTAGATAAATAAAAGGAATCTCACATGTTCTAGATGAATATGAGCCTGGCTGGCGATGTCATAAATTACATCTCTCACATTTTTCTCTTGCTTGCCTCTTATGAAATCCTCTTGTGAAACTCCATGCTAGACACAGGGAGGAAAACCAAAATCAAAAAAGAGAAAAAACCCTCTATAAAGATAAAGTTACCATTTTTGCTCCTCAAAAACCTGTCCCAGCAATGAGGCTAAGGAGTAAAACTACAACAGCCTAAATGTTCTACTTCTGCTCTCTCATTTTTTAATTCCCTTTCTTTTGGTCAGTCACCTGGGGAAAAAAATCAAGAGAGCAAAGAGAACAATTGGTATAGACTCTGCACAAGTTTGTTTCCTAAAATTTTGTGGTCAGTAAAATAATAAAATCATATTTTAAAGTTTGGGGGATTTAGATCAGTTTAGATACCTAATTTTTCAAACCATAATCCAAGAATCAAGCAGAAGAAAGCCAGTTAACAGCTACTACAGAAGCCATGCTGGCTTTTGAATCTTGGGATTGGTGTGCACATCCCAGGCTTGCAAAAAAACCAACCAACCAACCAACCAACCAACCAACCCCCAACCCCCAAAACATCAAAGCTATCTCCAAAAATCAACCAACCAACCAAAGCCAGAACCACCAGAAAAGAACCCTTCCAAACTCCAAAAAGCTAACTCCAAACTTATTCTTCGACTTCAGTGACCAATGTTAAGACAGAATACAGCATATGCAGAACTGCACCAGCTGCCCACTCCTCTCAACACTCAGGCATGTGAGAGCTGTATGAAGGTGGGCAGGAAGGCTTCACAGGAGGTACAGACTCAGGAGAACTCCACAGTTCTTGCCAGCAGCCGAAATGCTTACAAGACTCTCTGTACAGAAGGGATACAAGCTGTTTTTACAGTTTCACTGCAGAACACCTTCCGTGGCAAGGAATGACTGCATTTTCAGGCTATGTTTGAAAAGCTTAAAACTTGGAAGGCCTCCCATAATATGCAGTCCCAGAAGGGCTGAAAGCAGAGTGCCATTCTTTTCTGCAGGCTTATAACCCTGACCGATATTAATATCTACATTTTTTGCAGCTTCCTACATTACTAAACTTCCAATCCAAACTTCTAATTGTATTAAAATTATATTCAGAAAATACTAACACAACCACCTTAGGCATCACCATTAACTGCATAAATTTTGGTTAAGCTGAAAAAGAACAGCATTAACATTTAAAAATAAAAACTGGAAATGAAGGACTAACAGCTGAGCAGCCTAAAGATTAATCCATGGAACATTAATGAAAAATTCTGAGCTTTAATCCCATTTTACCTAAACTGCAAAATCTGCTAAATTCCAATTCAAATTTGATGTACAGTTTAAATTGGAGGACTATACTATCTCCTACAGAAACGTACAGAATACAGGCCTGTAACTGTCAAATATGGAACAGAATAAAACCCACAAACCACCAGCACATTATGAAAAGGTAATAAAGAGCAGCACAAGAAGATTGTTCAAAAGTAAAATTTCTCACAGTGCTTCCTTTAAGGTGATAGGAAAAGGCAAAAAAAAAAACCCAAAAAAACCCCAGACCCAACCCCAAAAACCCCAGGCCCCACTCTGCACATGCATTTTTATAATTGGAAAAATTCCTGAAACCTAAAATACTAATACACTTAATAACAATAAACAAACAAACCCCAAAGAGCAATCTAGAGTTTCTTGAAGACCAGTCCTCTCATTTCCCAAAAGATATAAAACCGTGACAATGGCATATTATTAGGCCACAGCAGAATGAGTAAAAATAAAGAAAAAACACACCATTTATTTTTGGCATAATAAATTATGATCTCAAATCTAGCCTTGAGAAACACAGAAAAACTATACTGTTCAATTCTAGACTATTTGCTTCTCTTACCAACATACAAACGTCCATGGGAAGAAAGACCTTTTGTCTTGTACAGTGATACGGAGTTGCTCTTAAACAGGTAACTATGCCTTGTGCTTTCCCAATGTGACTGGCTGCATGGTCAGCATGGATGTCCCTCACACCTAAAATTGCAGAAATGGCATGTTTAGAAACATGCAATCAAGCCTTTTGACGGACAGGGTCTTCTCTGATGAGTATCACAGTCATTCTTAGGAAAGCTACATGCATTGGTCCATTACAGAACAATCCATGTGCATAAACTGCCTTGAGATCTCATCTCAGAGGTGCAAAACAGCAGGACAATTCATTCATTTCCACATTCAGGAGCAAGATGCCTCTTGTTGCAGTATCTGCAAAGGGTATACTTGGCAGAGCAGCACCTGTTCAGATATATCACACTGGTACACAAACTCGTTTTCATTGGCATATCCTCTCCCAGGATAACAGTATTTCAGGAACTGTTTTCCCTGCCAGAAAAAGTAATTCAAGTGTGAGATTCCTGACAAGCATTAATGCTTACAGTTCAGTTTCATGATTAGCTGCAGCTGATTCATCAGTGTAGTGAAGTCAAAGAGAATGATCCTATGCTTCAGCCCCCAAAACTGTATTTCTGCTCCCTCCCTTGTGCTGTCAGGAGCTATGAGGCAAACTGAATCAGATCACCAAAACAATGGAAAACTGATGTTAGTTACTGCACAGACACACAACTGTGAGAACTCAAAGAGGGAGACGACTGGGGCAGAGCAGCATTGCTCTTCACAGTAAGACCATACAAGCTTGCCTTAGACTGATTATAAAGCTGAGCTGGGATAAAATTAAAATTTAAATTAAAATTTATAAAAATTCTAACAGAAGCAGCATCCTACAAAGAAAGAAATGAGAATACAGCAATTACAGATCGATGAGCCTAACTGCCATCTGGAAATAACCCTGGGGGTACCACATTCACTGCAGACCCACTGTCTGGGTCTTCAGTGGGTCTCAGAATCCCCTGTGAAAGGGTGACTATACCCAGACTATGGGGACTGATTTTGGCAATGGCAGCAGAAAGCAAAGTGTGGCTTGGAGGAATTATTTACTAACTACTTAGGTAATTAGTCAGAGAGCACAAACATCAGCATTTTTTAATGACAGGAGTTGAGAGGAAGTACCAGGACTTTGGACGACATGATTACCAGCCAAAATGAGCTTGACAAAAGAAATAACCTGAAATCATCAAGAATAAAACAGCACTAGAACTGGGAGAGATACACACTAACTGAAGACTAGTCAGGAAAAGTCTAAAAAGCACAAAAAACATGACCTGAATGAAAACATGTCCACCCAATCTAGAAAACACTGCTGATGAGCAACACCAAGAAAGCGGATGTATTTGATTAGTTTCTCCATTTGCAGGAAAAAAAAAATCACGGAAGTTAACTGTTTAATATGCAGTGAAGGAGACTTCTGCTTAGACATTCTGCTAAATTTTAGTGTTTTAAAAGATGTTAAACATGACAATAGAACACTTAGAATATTCAGAGTCTCCACACAGATTTTCAAAGAGTCTTATCTAATTTGTACGAGGAATGAGTGATCCAAGCATGATTGAACTTATTCAGGATTTCTCAGAATGGAAGACACTGGCATTTCTCATATTCCTACATTTCTTCACTAAGAGATTCAGAAAGACACTTGCAACATTTCACTGATTTCCTACTGAGGAAGCAATCATCAGATGTTAAGAAATAAGTTCCTCAATTCTTCCAAAGAAGAATGTACTCACCATCTCGCTCTTTTTACTTCTCTTTTTTCTATTTTTTTAAACTCTTTTAACATCAGTATTTGCCTTTCATCAGATTAGTCTGATAAGAAGGAAAATATTGCTACTATTATACTTAATAATAATGATATAGTAAAAGTAATAATAATAATAATAATTATTTTCACCTATTCTTTACATCCGAGCTCATATTTGGAATATTTCCATAATGCAACAGACACCTTAATGAAAATTACCCTTTTCTTCACTACAACTCAACAGTTCTTTCCCAATCTGTGGTTCTTACATTAGACACGACACAGACAGTAGCTCTTGATCACAGGGATCATCTTCGTTGCATTTTTTTCAACCTCCTCATTTACTGATAGTTAGCCTACTTCTAGAAAGAGGAGAGGATTCAGACACAAATTTACATCATCACCAAAGGAAGTTTATAGGCTGGTAAGCTGGCTGTTTCAAGATAATCAGTGTCCATCACTGCAATAACAGAACAGTATACAGGATACCTACAGCACTTTGTATTCTGACAAGCAGGACAATTGAAATACAGTGAAGAGCTGAATTTACCACATTCCTTAAGAGGAGCAAGAACAGAGAAAACAAAGCAATGAACAACAGTAGGAAACTGCACTTCAATGAGCTCTGCACTGAGGAGCTTCCAAGGAATGCACAGAGTTCTAGGATAGTTGCAGTACAATTCCACATTTATGGTTCAGCACTCAAAAGATACCTGAAATTCTACCTAGGACAACTTTTACTGAAATCAAGCTCCAGTGGGAAAGAAAAACTTTTTGAAATAGCAGTAAATATTGTACTTGCACTAATGAGTTATCAGCAAAAACCTAGAAAGGGGAAAACACCTACCCAGCGTTTCCAAGGTGAGGTACAAGAGAGCACTCTGAGTGTTCTCAGCGTATGTTTCGAGCTCCTGGATGTTACGGTACGCCCTATCATCCAAATTCTTCTCCTGGAATATAAACATGGAGCTTCAGTAGAACACAAACATAAATGCTGTTTGTACAGGCTTATTACTACAGTCATGTCAACCCAATGCACTACCAAAAACAGAAAAAAGGACAAAACTGAGAGACAGAGAGAGAGAGAGAGTATAAACTCAGATAGAAGCAGTCATTAAAGCCTACAGCAAGCCAAGCAAATAACTATACTCAACTGCAGCCAAGTAAGTCTGCTTATAGGAGCAAATACAACTTTCTGCAATAATATGAAATCAGAATTCTCCATAAAAAAAGAAACAGCCAAAACAAAACATCATATGGTATTCCTACAGTATAGGGTTGTCAATTTTAATATTTAATTTGCATCTGAAAAAGAAATTCAGATAAATAGGAATGTATTTTTTAAAAGCATAAGTCTACTAAACGTACACAAGTGTTAAAGTCATGTAAAAAACCATAGATTCATAGAATCAATCATAGAGTGGTTTGGGTTGGAAGGGGCTTTAAAGATCATCTAGCTCCAAGTTCCCTGCCACGGACATAGAAACCTTATACCAGTCCAGGTTGCTCAGAGGTCCACCCAACCTCTGAACACCTCACAGAGAGCCTACAACCTCTGTTCCAGTGCCTCACCATCCCCACAGTAACCAATTTCTTTCTCAGATCTAATCTAAACCTACCCTTCTTCACTTCAAAGCCATTCCCTCTTGTTCTATCACTACATGCCCTTATCAAAAGTCCCTCTCCAGCTCTTGTAAGCCCCTTCTAGATACTAGAAGGTGCTCTAAGGTCTCCCCAGAGCCTTCTCTACTCCAGAATCAACAGCCCCAAATCTCTCAGCCTGTCTTCACAAGAGAGGTGTTCCAGCCCTCTGAACAACCTATTGGCACTAATGAGTAATACACCCAAAATAATAAAATATACCCAAAGCTATAACATCCTCCAGCATTCCTCCTGTCCTAGCAGTTTCTGTGGTTGAAACATACCACTCTTAAGACTAAAAAGCAGTCTTAACATTAAGAAAGTCTGAAGTCATTCATAGCAATGACCCTCTGCAAGTAATTGACCATCAATTTGCTCAATTTATAGCTTCACCAGACACTTACTTTAACTGCAAAATTAGCTTAGGAGATTCCTGCACTCTGCTTTTCATTCTTGTCCTTGTGTCAGTGTTTGTAGCAACATTACTGTACCAGTGATACTTTTAATCTTGTTTTTCCCCAGGAAAAAAGGTGGCTATTTTAAACTCCATGTGATCTGAATACTCCAGTTTACACCACTGCTTAGAAAAAACTCCAGTCATGATAAGGAGTAGCTTGAAAGTGTGGCAGAAGGAAGTGTTCAGATAGGTCATTTAATTTTTGAGATTTTATATCCATGTGAACTCACAAAATATATCAATTTAAGACAAAAATAAACAAAGGATTCTATTAGCCATTCTGGCAGAAAGAACACAAACTATGGAGAGTAGCATCAAGGAAGCATTAAAAAAAATCTAGCAGTATCATTTTAAAAGAGAACTGCTAGTGTCTGGAAAAACATATAAGCCTTTGTTTTACACACAAACATAAAAATAAGGAAATATGACTAAAGCCGGAATGAGACTCTTAAGATTAAGTACTTACTCTTTCATCTATGATCTTCATGAACCACATTTTAGTCAAGTTATGCCTCTTGACAGCCTGAAAATTATCAAATAAAATCTCCATGTTAATGTATACAAAGTGATGGTAGTACTGCATCCTGAAGGCTGAAATACATTTACCTGTTTAAAATAAGAAATACATTCACTGGATTAAATTGAAGTGGCATGTCAGTGCAAAATGAGAATCTTCTTCAAATACAAAAAATTTTCAGCTGGCATTTACTGCAAGTTGCTGCACACAGTAAAAGAAATACCAGACATCAAGCCAGCTAACTAAAAGCATTTCTTTAAAAATGTCTTTGAAATTAATTTATTCTTGGAGTCATATGTTCTCACAAAATATTTGCAGATAACTATGTTCACTTTCCAAAAAGAACAGTTTCCTCCAGAGCCCAGCAATAAAAATATTTCCTCTGTAAATCCTCACGAAAATGTTAGCACAGCATACTAATACGTACTGTAAAGACAGCATGCTAACAAAGCAATACAACTAATATTATGTGTTTGTTTAAAATCGTATCACACAGCATCTCATACTCATGCATTCTTCTTTTGGTTCTTGTCTTATATTTGACTTCCTTCCTGTGCGACTTCATTCGATCGACTTGCCTTCAATCTTCTTAATTTCACATTTTGAATTTTTCAGAACATGTCAGAAAGGCTACAATCACACATTACAACATCTATAAACAAAATTTACGGAGCAGTTTTCTCACAATTTAGTCCTTATAGCTCACTTTCAACTTTTTTACATCCATCATATTAGTGAATATTTTTTCAAAGTTTGACAAGACCAGATCTTGTTGATTCAATAAATTCTGCTTAAGACAGTACTTGGTATATGAAAAGGCAAATTTTAGGTCATAACTACAAATGTCAGTTTTGACTCTCACTTGTTCACCTCAAGTATCATTTTGTAAATTAAATCCTTGAAACACTAACTTAAAGGACCAAACTCAACTCAACAATGCTAAATTACCCATATTATCCATTTTGAGTTACCTTCATTCAAACATGAATTCTTATTTCTCCAAAGTTTGAAAAATTGGCTTCTTCCACAGAAATGAACAGAGAATTAGACCTCACTTTTCATATGTTCAAAACAAACAGAAAAGTAAGATCACACATCATAGAGTTGCTGTGTAAGTTTATATTAAAGTCACCAAGAACTGAGTTATTGATAATTATAGAAATAATATTAAAGGCTATTTATCTACTTTACTAGTGCATAAAAATTTGGAACCCAAATGCAGGTATTCTTGGATATAGAAAACTTCAGGAACATACTTAAATATCACAAATTAAATTTATTCTGGAAAATCACATTGTCCTCATATAAACTCAACAGCAACAAAGGAGTATACATAGAATATGCTGTGCAAAGACATGTTAATTCTACTAACAGCTCTGCAATACTTGTGAGTTCAGGTGTCTTTCCAAATCCTTTTTGTATGAATTGCAATGACATTCTTGGACACTTGTGAAGTCATGGGTGTCAAATGGGTCACTCTTGGAGTATTTGTGGAAATATGTAAATAAAATCCCATACTGACTGCAAAAGTCACCAAGTCACATTGAATTGTTTGCTCACTCCAGTGAACTAACTGCAATGTTCTGCAGTGCTTAGAGCTATCAGAGCTCCTTTAAAATACTTTCTGAATAAATATTTTTCATCATCTTATTTTGCAAGCAGTTCTTTTTGGATTGTATTATATTGGTCTTCCTTTACAGGAATCATACATGAGGTGAAATCTCATCAAAAACCATTCTTCTTCCACTTCAAAACTAATTTTCTGTTTTGTGGGAAAGAAGTATGACTGGCAGTCTTAGCTATTGGAAAGGATTGCAATTGGTATCCCAGAATCTGAATGACTTATATATGAATACTGTACTGGTTTTAGCTGGGATAGAGTTAATTTTCTTCACAGCACGTTTATGGGGCTGTGTTCTGGACTTGTGCTGGCAACAGTGCTGTTGGTTAGAATGGATGCAGCACAGCACACACACAAAACACTGGCATTACTTCCCACAGTAATAATAAAGCAAATTTTAGGACAAGAAAGATGTATTTTACCCTCCACAGCTCTGTAGCAATGGGCTGATGTGGTGGGTTATCGCCGTATATGTCCTCCACAGCATCCCTCCAGAACTGCATCCGCATCAGACCCGTAGTCTTCTGAGTTATGGAGTCTTTAATCTGGAAAGGATACATCTGGAGTGAAAATCAGTGTCTTTAAGATACTTGGTCTATCTATGTTGAAAAGACAGACACAGGACAGAGTCAAACTCAGCAGGGAAAGAGCTCAGTTCGGAACTGACATTTATTCCTTACAAAGTTTAAGAACACTACACAGAGTAAATGCGACATCTTCACCAAAACCTGATTTTAAAACCCACAGAGATTAAGTTCTGGGCAACCCTCACCTTAGCTTTCTTCCCTGAAGGAAACAGCAGTGACAGGAAGCCCATGAAAGCTGGTTGGAGGTTTTGCCTGGTCAGCTCATTTCCTGGATCACTCCTTTCTGGAAAGCACTGCCAACTTTCCTGGTTGCACTGGCAGTTTCTGGCCACAAAGCAAAGGGGAGAGAGAGACTAGAGCCACTCCTCTCACACAACTCTCTAACAACAATCTTCCCTCCTCTAGCCTTTTCATCACCTCGCTCCTGCCAACAAAGACTTGGTCCTGATGACAGCATCCCATTTTTTGACAGACCTTCTACAGTTAGGATTTAGGTGCACTTTACCCATTAACTGCACACAAAGCCAGGATTTGGATGCAATCACATAACAGAATCAAGATCCACTGACTGTTTGTTACAATTCAGTTTGAAAATGCATAAACAAAAAAGTTGTAAAAATTATACACATAAACAAAATAATAGGGCAGGCTGGGTACTTTCCATGGGCCATTCAAAACTGGAGGTTTGTACTGCACTATTTATTCATTGCCCTTGACAGTATAAAAGTTAATCTTGCCAAAACACCACCTACTACAGAAGGAGTACTTACAAGTGTAATTCTGAATATTGAAATTGTTATTTTAAATTTCCAGAGTTCACAAATGTATTTTAATACCTGCCTGAGCCAGTTCCACATTGAAGGCTCTCAAGGCGAAAGCAGAGGTTCGAGATTCCGCAGGCAACAGCAGAGAACACAGAAACCCTTCATAGTCACGCTTCCTATAGAAGAATCAAAATGCACATTTGTTATTTATAGCTCTAAGACAATTGGATGTGCTATTCCTTAGCACTGAACTCCTGAAAGAGCAGCAGTAAGTTATAGCTCAAAACTGACTTTGCAAACATAGCAGCTTTTAGGCTTGTTTTATAATAAGACCAACTCCAAGAGAGAGGACAGGCTGTTTGAACTCTCGGTGCACCTCTGAAATCCACATCTCAAGATATCTGTCTAAAGGCATGAAGGCAGGCTGTGGCAAAACTGCAAATAGAATCCAGACTGTCCAACTTGCAGATTTCTGTTCCAAATATGAAACCACAGTTCTTTAAAAGACTGTGATTTGGAGCTTGGCAGAAGAGTGCTTGCTTAACCATTAAGTTTTTGTTTACTGGCAAGTAAATTCAAAGCAGAAAACCTCCGGGAGTTGGCAGTTTTGCTGCAGGTAAGTCATTGCCAAGCTGGAGTGATGTGCCTTCATTTGGCCACGTGGGTGTGCCACAAAATTATAAACACAGCGCTCAGAATTATAAACTACAAAATCACTCCAGCTAACAAAAACACCTGACCACTTCTGAAAAGCTAAACTGCTTGTTTTGAATATTATTTTTGTGTACTTTCTGATAAGCCTGAAACCTGATTCTTCCTCAGAACAAGACAAGCTCCCAAGTTTGGCCTGCAGAGTGGAGAAGCAGGTTGTGAAGGAAAAACACTTGTACTCATTTTCATTAAGTGTTCTTGCACGTAGTCCTATTTCTTTTGAATATGATCTTAAAATAGAAAGCCAAACTAAACCCAAGGGTTATTAAAGCTGCTACTTTTAGCATCAAACAAAAACAAAGTGAAGTTTAACAGAGATGCTTAACCCTACAATACACATCAGCTGAAAACTAGCAAATGCTTAGCTTCTGTAACTGTTGTCAAACTCTTTTAGAGCTTGATGCAATCCAGAATTATCAACAACAACAACAAAAAACTACATTTTTAAGTTGTAGTAGGCTTTAGAGGACACCTTCATATTACAGAAGAGATGCATTAACCCTCCCTCAGTTAAGACATTTTCTGAAAAGTGTTATCAGCTCAAAATCTAATGCTTTTTTCAAGATTAGTTGCAGAAATACCCAGTATTGCCCACTCTAGACAGAGCTGCACGGTTTACAGCCACATTTCCCCAGTTCCAGTCTGTGTTGTTCACACAACACAGAACCACCTCTACTTTCAGAAAGGAAACAAAGAAACATGTTACACAAAGTACACAGCAACACAATAAAGAAAATTGTCTTCCCTGTGGTAATGGTGATGACATTATGGACTTTTGGTCAGTTGTTTTTTTTCAATTATTCCAAGCTTAAAAGTTTAGTAGAGCAAATCCATTAAGCCTCAGTAAAATAAAATTGATATTGCTATAGACCACATTCCACCCCAACCCTCTTCAAGTATCAATGTAAGGAATGAAGAAAGGAGTGAATGACCTTAAGCCAAATATTGAGTGTTTTCATAGTTTTCAAATAAGTACAAGCTTACATATGAACCCACAGACAGAAGAAAAAATAGTAATGGTCATAACTGGACTTTCCATATAATGAATTTATAATAAAGCTATCAATCCACAAGCTTTTCTTTGAGAGCAGACGTTGTAGACATAAAACATACCTATAAGGGAGACATATTTTTAGTCAAATAGCTTGAAGTGAATTTGGTTGTTTAACAGAAAAAGGAAGACTAAAGAGAAAGTGCATCTTCCACACTGCAAAAACAAATACACCTTATTAAGGCAGAACTCAGTTGTACTTCCTAATGTGTTGGAGACTCAAATTCAGAACAGAGTTGCTGACACTTGCATAGCCCCAAGTGTTTTATTTCTGTTTGAATAATAATTCCTTCCACTTATTTTTTATAATTATTATTATTCCTATGCAATATTTGTGCTACAGGGAACAGCAGTTTCAATTAAATTATGCCAAAAGCCTAACTACCTTTCATTTTACTGTTTTGAATGCTGGTGTGTTTCTCATTAGTCCTTTTATCATTTAACAAAAATACATATTAAAAAAAAAGTTTTAATTCAATCATCTCACTGGAACCTAACTATTCTGTTCACAGTTGCTTGTTACTCGAAACATTCAACCTGCAGATGTTAACTTTACCTGTATATTGTCTGTACACACAGCCTCTGGTCTCCTGAGTATCAGGGAAACAAATCCTGGGCAGAATAACTAAGAAAAGAAAGCTGTGTTCTGAAAATAATGAAAAATGCACCGTGGCTGTGGATTCTGGTGTGTCTGTACAGCTTCTTGTTGCTGAACATTTAAGATTGTCCCATTTCTTTCCCTTTGTTCTCCTACCTCACATTACTGCAGACCACGCACTTTTCTGTCTTTTACAAGCACCAGTTTGGAGAAGATAATCCTATTCCACTCTTTCTATACACACATGGAACCCCTTCTCTCAGCTTTTGACAATCATCTGTAACAACAGTATCCAAAAGGAAATTACCTAGGTCTTTACTAAGAGATTTAACATATTACTTTACAAAGAACTGAATTCCTGGGAATTACAAAGCAGCCAAGGGGCCCTACACATTGTTTACAGCCCAGAATCCAAGAAGGAAAAGTGGCCTGACCTGGAAGTGTGTGACTGCACTCCTGCTCCTCTTGGAGCATTTTGGGTTTGACAAAGAATAAAAGGATGTTTTGGACACACAGCCCTCCTCTTGTGTTTAGGACAGAGAAAGTACTGAGCTGCTCCAGCTGTCAGATGTCCTCTGCTTTGGCCTGTTTCTCCAAGGAGCACTCAGAAGCACGGCTGTTTCTCAGTAGCCAAGATCTGAAAACAGCCGATGTTTGTAAACATCCACTTCGGTGATTTCGCTCTCCAAAACACCAATACAAGGAAACAGAAACTTTCAATATTTCTGAAGAAGTGCAGCCATGAAGGGGCGGGAGGAGGGGAGGGGGGGTATTGCCCGTGGGAGGCTGCCCAGGAAGGTGGTGGAGCGTCCCTCTCTGGACACATTAAACACCCTGAACATATTCCTGTGTAACCTGCTCTAGGTGACCGTGCCTGGCCGGGGGGTGGGACTGGATATCTCCAACTGTCCCTTCCGACACAAACTAATCAGTGATTTTGTGTGCAGGTTAAATCATCCGCGCGGCCTAAATACGCGCCTGGTTTCCACGCTCCCGACACGGCG